CATGATATAGCCAGTTTGCACGACCTCGTTGTAAGCAGTAGATCTCCTCTTGCTCTAAAAGATTTTCAATAAGAAAAAAATTCCTTTTGTCATGCTTGGGAATGCGCATTCATAGGACCCTTTCGAAGATTTTCTAAATCTTTTTTGAGTTTATTAATTCTTTTTTTGGACCTCTGAGTATATCACGGTCCCAAATGTGCAAATCCACATTCACTGCCCGTGTACGCTCAGCTAGAGACAGCCCAATACCCCACATCTTTGTTTTTCCCTTGATGCACGCAGAATTATACAACTGACTCTTCTTGGAGCCATAGAGCTTCAAATTGTCTCAGTCGACTCTTTGGGTGGTTAAACATATTACCATCAAAATATTCTGTATCCAGTATGAGAGGACGATGATCAGAGTGTACATGTTCTTCATTTATGACAGTAGACCGAGAAAATTTGTTCGCGCATTTCACATTACAAACCGCACGATCAAGTCTCTCCCTAATATCGCCTCTCCTCCAAGTGAAAGGATCCCCAATACATCCCATGTATTCCAAACCGCACTCTCCCAAAAAATAGCGGAACTCTCACATCATTGCATTTGGTCTCGCATTACCACCCTCCTTTTCCGAAGAAAGTAGAATTTCATTAAAGTCTCCCAAAACCACCCAAGGTGAAGTAATTACCCTTATTGTGCAAGTTCCGAATATCATCCCACAACAAGTTACGATCACTCTAGTTCGGATGACCATAAAACCCTGTAAAACGCCACTGTACAACATTTTCATTCATAAACAGAACATCAATAAAATTAGTCGACACATAGTTTAAAACAATCAATAAAAAGACCCAGTGAGGGTTGGCTTGGATGGTGGGCCCGTCTACATAGGGTACCATATTAGGACATAATCAACCGACTTGCTTCAAAAGTGCTGCAGACCGTATTAGCCATAGACCTGGAATGGGACGGGCTGAACCGATTATGCATGCCAAGTAGCTCCCTCTACATGTGTGAAAAGGCGGATGTAGCCAGGTAGGTGCACTCACCCTAGGGCGGGACCGCCGGATTGGGGTCTCAACGCGCGGGCCTATAGTAAGGCAAGGTGAAAATGTAGATGTAATGTACATCTTGGCTAAAGGTTATGGTTCCTTGGTCTAGTCGTGTGCCAAAGCAGTGCATCAGTGACTCAGACCAAGCGATGTTATGGGTAAAATAGTACACCTTTGATCAGAGCAAAATGTGTTATCACTACCAACTTTGGGGTTTGGAAGTGCGTCATGTGGGTTTTCCTCTAACATAGGATGTAAGATCCACATCCCTCTGTCACAAGTAGATTTTATAAGTAAATATGTTTTCCACAAGTGGGTTAAAGGAAGTATTTTACTTACAAACTATTTTGGGCCAATGGCTCGGTGGCTATGACCGTTAAGTTTTCTTCGTTAAAATTCATGAATCCACTTATCCCAGCGACATGTGGAGTATGTACTGTATTTTATATGTGCTCAACCCTCTTCCTATGTTGTTTTTTCAGAGGAGTGAGTTGTGAAAACTCCGGGGAGATAGAGACCAGTACTTATGATGAGATTGGTCATTTTCATGACCTCGACTTTGCTGAAGTGCAGTATGAAAATATGGGGAAGCCGATGTTGAAGGCTATGAAGAGTAGATCCTCAGGAGGATTTGTCTAGAAGGCTCATACTAGGAGCTGGCGGTGTTCTATCGTCGTGACCGTTTAGACTTAGTTGACATATGAGGTGTTATTGTAATAAAAGCCTACTTGTTGATATGCATTTCTTCTATAACTCAGCACGCACCTCCCTGCCACTCCCAGGTACCACCGCCCGATGCTATTGTGCCGTGCTGGTGGATGTTTGGTGTACACATCAATTTACTCTCCTGTTACAACACACGAGCATATGTGCTAGTTTATCAAAAAAATGCAATAGCCAGTACAATAAAAAGACAACCGGATGCAAACCGGCCAGTACAGCATAAACTTACATTGCAAAACATACTAAAATTATTCTTTCTCCGATTGTATGCTGCCCACAGAGAATGAAAATTGCACTGAACCAACAATAAAGGAAGGGGCACCTGCAAACGTCTTCGCCACACAAACTTTAAAGATTGCAATAATCACTAGCCCCATTAGCCAAGATCTAGAAGTAAGAAGCATAGGTTGGAGCAACACCCCATGCAAAACATGGTTATTGTCCATCACCATCGGATAGAGGTAGACCCGGCCATGGCAGCTCGGCCCGAAAGCCGAAGATAAGCCCTAATATGGCATAAATCAATATTTTATTAGAAATATAGGTATAGTATATTATTTGAATATCCTGAAATTCATTTAATAAAAAACACAATATTCATGTGTTTTGGGCCGGGCCGGGCTCGGGCTTAAAATTTTGAGATCGGGCTTTGCAAAGCCCGGCCCGAAAAATGTCCAGGTTTAGGCAGAGGGTTGGAGAAACCGGATCAAGTTGCAGAAGATGTTGAAATTGTCGCTTCAATGGCCAACCAGTTGCTCTTTGTAAAGGGCACACCAACTATCAAGATCTGAAACGTGTCAATAGGTTTAGGATCTAGAGACACAAACTCTCACATGCCCTTCACCGGCGGGGGATCGAACATCGTAGAGGTAGGAAGAGACCGAAGGGACCTTATTCCAACATGCCATCACCGCCACCACCTAGTCGATTTCTCTCGGGAAACAAAACCTAGGGAGAAAAAAAAGGATGGATGGGTCCCTACTATCCTTGCCGCCGACAAAGCCACCGGACGAGGAAGAGAAGGGGGAGCGACGTGGCGGTGTGGGGAAGAAACTTGGCGACGACGGCCATGGTTTAGAGAGTCTGTGCTACCAAGATCGAGATATTTTGCGGTGGGAGGGTGTGCGACTGGTGCGTTCTCCATTGCGCACTACGCGGATTAGGGAATTCCTAGCCGAGCTGGTGTGTCTATGACGCCCATTGTGTGTTGGCTATTGTCATCACCAACACATCCTTTGTCTGCATGACTGCATCTCATTGATTTGAATTCCTTCAGGTTACATTCTGTCCATAGGATCAAAATCGTGCTGAAAACAGAAATCATTAGTTAGGGGTACCTTTGCAGCTATGTTGGCAAATGTTAATAACCATTTTAGCTCATCGGAATTATGAGTAGGAGTTACAGTATGGTCAAACACGATCGGTTTGCACAGCCTGACCTCATGTTTTTAAATAGTTTGGCCGTTACGCTAGCTTCCTACTTGACACTAGTTCAAGGGAAGTGGCGGCACGCTCTGCTCGTGCCGGAAGTAGTCGCCGGCGTCCACCCTGCGCTTGACCTCTGCGAGTCTCCTAAAGTTTGCCGGACCGAAATACCTCTCGCCCCACACCTTGCCACTTTGGTAGCTCGTTACTCCGCCGACCACCGTGTTCATGCCAATGTCGAGGTCCCGGTAGTTAACGTACGCGGCCCTCGGATTCTTGCTCACGAACGGCGCCATGAAGTCGTACAGGCTCCCGATCCAGTTCGGCTTAGGCGTAGCGTCGCCCCCCGCCCCTTTGCCGTTCCAGTGCTGCACGTACTGGATGTTGTAGAGCACGCTGCTCCGGTGCGGGAACGGGGTGTCGTTGGCGGTGATGTGGCCCATTCTTCCACCATGCGGCTCCAGGACGAGCTGCCCCGACGCCGCGTCGTTGGGCCAGAGGAAGATCTTCTCCCACGTCTCGTTGGTGAGGGCTTTCTCGACGTAGTCGGACTTGTTCTTAATGAAGGGACCCAGGGCCATGGACCGGTTGATGGTGGCGTCGCCGAAGTATATGTACGCCGTGAACTGCAGCCAGCTCATCTCCTTGCAGTCGGCGTGCGTCACGCCGAGCTCCGGGAATCGGCTGCGCAACGTCGGCACCACCGCGTTGCACTTGCCGAGGTACAGGGCTTCGAAGGTGGCCTGACGATTTTCTACGATAACACGTACGGTGAGGTCGTCCGGGAGCACGGGCGCGAGCGTTTGCCATTTGGTCACCGCGTTGACGGCGCCCTGGTCCATGGTCTTGGCGAGTTTGAAGAAGGTCACCGTCGGTGGGACTGGCACGAGCCTCACCTTCCACGACAGCACGATGCCGAAATTGCCGCCGCCCCCGCCGCGGATGGCCCAGAAGAGGTCGTCCCCCATGGCCTTCTTGTCCGCCAACAGATTCCCGTAGGCGTCGACCATGGTGGCGTCGAGAACGTTGTCGGCGGAGAGGCCGTACTTGCGCATCATTAGGCCTATGCCGCCGCCGCTCAAGATGCCCCCCACGCCCACGGTCGAGCACACGCCAGCCGGGAAGCCCAGCCCTGGAGCCGCCGTGGCGACGTGGTGGTAGAGCTCCCCGAGCGCCGCCCCGGAGTCGACCCACGCGGTGGCCTTGCGTGGGTCGACGCGGACGGCGTGGAGCTTGGCGAGGTCGATTACCGCGAACACCTCGCTGTTGGGGCAGACTGACCGGTAGGAGAGGCCCTCGTAGTCGTGCCCGCCGCTGCGGACGCGGACGCGCACGCCGTGGCGGCGCCCACAGCGCACGGCGGCCTGGACGTGGGACGCGTTGGTGGGCATCACGATGCAGAGCGGTGGGCTCGCCGTGGCCGGCGCCACGAACCTGGCGTTCCTGATGGACGACACCAGGAGCTGCTTGAACGACGGTGAGTTCGGCGTCTGCACGAGCTGGCTGGGGACGCTCGTGGAGATGCAGCGGACGAAGTCGGTGTAGTTGGAGGTCGACGCAAGGGAGGGGGCGGGCACGAACAAACCCAAGAAACAAACCATGAGAACGAGCGCTATGCTTGCCATTTCGATGAATCTACCGCTCTTCGTACACAGATACGGTGCTTCTGTTCTAATTCACCTCGTATATATAACCATGTGGTCATCCTTCTCTTCAAGGGCCGGTTAATACATGCATGGAAGTTTCTTCCCAAATCAAGTAGGAGAAGTCCGTTTCGAAAAAATAAAATCAAGTAGGAGAAGTCCGTTTCGAAAAAATAAAATCAAGTAGGAGAATATAACCATGCGGTCATATCCTTCTCTTGAAGAGCTGGTTAATTACATGCATGGAAGTTTCTTGGTGCTTGTTCTAATTCACCTCGTATGTAACCATGTGGTCATCCTTCTCTTGAAGGGCCGGTTAATTACATGCATGAAAGTTTCTTCCCAACCCAAGTAGGAGATGAATATGATTGGCCGGATAGGAGGACAATGTCATATATCTTCAGCTTATTAAGGTTCAAGTCCTAGATTTACATTGGTGATTGCATTATTCTCGTATTTATTCCATGCTTCCGGCGATGTTCGTTGAGTGGGAGGAGACGTTTCCGTCGATTGTGAGGCGTCTGTAGTGACTTTGTAAAATCTCAATATACTACACTGGCCCAGTCTCTCGGAGGTGCTCGTATATGTGAATGATTTCAATTGTACTATGTTCAAAAAAAGATATTTATTATCTGTCATTATCTCTAATATTGAATCTCTAACATACCAAAAGGGGAGTTGGTAGGCCGGCACGCTTGGTTCATTTTCATCTTCATAATTTATTTTTGCCTCCACATCCCATCACCTCCTCCGTGATGTTTTTTCCTTCATTAAATAAAGGATCGGTTCGCCCGATTTCTTTTCATATTTTCATGCTTAGTTTGGATGGTGCCAATTGAATTCAATCACTTAAATATTAGGTAATTAAGAATTTGAAAATCACACCTTACACATAGAAGATTTTTCTCGATAACCATTGATGTCTCTACTCCTAAAGAGGATTGGTAGGCCGATACACATAGTTTATTTTCGACTCCATGGTTTACGCCTCCACATCTCACCACCCCCCTGCATGCTGGGCCTTTGTCCCTCCCACTGAAAAACGGATCGATTTTCCGGATCTTCCTTCCATTTTTTCGTGCTTGCTTTGGTGGGCGTAGATTCAATTCAATCAAGCAAATATTAGATAATTAAGAGTTTAGACATCACATCATATATGTGAGATCACTTTTTTAAAAGACAGACACAAGATTTTCTCGATAACCTTTCAAAACAAAATTAGATATTTCTCGCGCACTACGTCATTTATTATCTATTATCATCTCTACTACTGAATCATAATCACAACTTTCCTTATGGATTTTTTCTTCCGTCCCACCCGCATGTCTCCGTTTTCATCTATAAGTTTTTTTTCTCGTTTTGTTCGACCTCCCCTCCCATGTACATTGCACCCTCCACCGATTTTCACCCCACCGAATTTTTCCAAATAAATCCCACCTCCCCTTCACCCCTCCTCCACCCCTCCTCGTTTGACCTCCACACCCACGTGTTCCCCACTTATGCGTCCCCTCCCGACTCTCTATTCGCCACTTCATCCATCCCCAAAAATCAACGATCTCCCCGATTCTCACTCGGCCCTTTCTTCCTTACCTCATGTGGAGAGCGCCACCTAGGGTTCCCTCTCACTCAGTTTATTTCATCATGAATGTTCACTCCCGACTGACGCTGCCTCTGCACATCCCACTCCCCACCCCCCGGCCTCGCTAGGGCTCCAACCACCACCGCTCCCCTGCTCGCAAATATATGATTCTAAGAATCAAGTCCTCATACTCATGCCTATTTTTATTATAAGTGTTCTACATTGCAACTTGATTACGATCCGGTCTAAAAACTGGAATTTAATACTCTTGGAAAGGCTTATTAGAAACCCATGTCTTCAAGGTCTTCCTTTCGTGGGTTCGATAACTGAGGGTCACCTCTGGGAAAAAGGCGAGAATCCTTTCTGCTCAGTTACCAGGTCGCTAAATGGACTCATCACCACGACATATAGGGTGGCGGGTGGGGAAAGCCACACCGATGGGGGCAAGGGCGGAGGATGGCGACGTCTTGGATGTGGGAAATGGAGGAAGGACATGGTAGGAGGGCGGTGGATTTGATGGACTTGGTCAAATTTATGGTGCGTCCGGTGTGTCTGATCTGACGTGACAGACATGCCTGGGCGCGTCCGGGCCTCCTCATATCCGCCTCAGATATGAGGAGTGGCAGCCATCCCGGATCTATAGGACTAGTTTGAGGAGCCCGACTGGGTCACGATTTTGTGACAGATCATTGATCAGGTGGTTCACTCGGGCATATAGGGGCGTATGAGGAGCCTGGTTGTAGACGCTCTTAACGAAAATGCCAAATGGGGGACAAGCTCCACGGAGGCCCAATTTTTAAAGATTCAAAATTCATACTTTTACATTTTAATTTTTGTTTGAAAAATAAACATATACCTAGAGACATAATGTACACAAAAAAATTGTGGCTTCTCAGCACATGCACTATTCATTCTCAGAGTATATGATATTTCTTATGCAGCAGTTTGCAATTCATGGTACTTCATCATCAAATTTTACACACATATCTATTGCATCCTTGTATACGTGTATATTTGTTTTCACGATCTTTTGACAAAACCGAAACGGTGAAACTGTTGGTTTAGGTTTTCACCTTGGAGCTCGGCCTCCAAAATGCCCTACTTGGTTTTTAATTAATTTACTTATCTCTTTGGTACTCAATAAATACTTCCATTTATGCCACATAAAACCATAGATTAAAAACTGAAACGGTGAAGTTGTTTGTTCAGGCTTTCGCATCGGAGCACAGCCCCCAAAATGCCCTACTTGGCTTTTAATGACTTTATTTATCTCTTTGACACTCAATAAATTACTTGCATTTGTGCCACATAAAACAATAGTTAAAAAACCAAAACGGTGAAGCTATTGTTTTAGGTTTTCACCAGTCGGACCGTTGGCTCATCGGTTCATTAGTGAAAAACCGGGGAAAATTTAAGCATGGAAAAAGGCCCACCTCGACATGCAATTATGCATGCAAAGAGCTTAAATGTTTTAGTTATATTATTCTACTTCTATTTAGTAATAATTTGTCAACATGCAACCATGCTTCCAAAGAGCTTAAATGTTTTAATTATATTATGAAAATTTTATTTAATGTTTATTTTATAATTATACAATAATCATATGTATTTTCACTTTTAGTTCTTATATTAATAGTCCAATATTTATGTTCATGTAAACAAATACTCCCCTCCGTTCCTAAATATAAATCTTTTTAGAGGTTTCAAATGGACCACAACATACAGATGCACATAGACATGTTTTAGAGTGTAGATTCATTCACTTTATTCCGTATGTAGTCTCTTGTTGAAATCTCTAAAAATACTTATATTTGGAAACGAAGGGAGTAACATTGAAATATATTGCAAGCAATTTATGCAGCAACACGGGTAAACTTGACTATTTCATGGAAATTCATATTTCTTTTGTTTACACAGTAACTTTGAATAGCTAAACAAAAGAAATATGAATTTCCATGAAATATGTAATAAAAACTGTCATCAAGTTCAATATGGATTAATGAACTGCCTTACAATGAAATTTGGGAAAAAAATTGAGAAATAGAAACAACCACCCAATGAATGTGAATAGACAAAAGTTTGCCAAAATCTAAACTGCCATGCATGAAACTAATTCGGACCTCATTTTAAAATTTAAAACAACACAAGAGAATGCCATGATATACAAAAAAATGCAGTCACATCAAAGTGATCAGGTATAGTACACCCCCCAAAAAACAAAACAAAAACATCAATAAGCTACCACATTCTCTAGGATTTTCATACATAACACGCAGCTAGAACACAAGAAAAATGCCATCATATATAAAATCATGCATGGAAGATTTGAGTACTAAAGGACATACAAAATTTTGCCATGGAACACAAAAAGCATTGAAAAAAAGACAAAAAAAGTATTTTAACTTGCCATGGTTCTACAATTTGACTTGCCATGATCAACAAATTTTTCAAATTTTATGATGATAATGATTCAAAAATCAAAAGTTCTAAAAAAGCAAAAAGGAAATGCCAAGATTGAGATTATAAAAAGGCCATAACATTAAAAATAGAAATACCATGATCCAAAAATTAAAATTGTCATGCTTCTATATTTTCTTTGTCATAACAAAAAGAAGAATTGCCAAATGATCGAAAAATTGAATTTGCCATGCTAAATTTAAAAATTAATTTTACCATTATATAGGAAAAAGTGCAATGCTCTAAATAATAAAATGTCATGCTTTGATAATAAAATATGACATGCTCTTACTACTAAAAATGCCATGATTCTAAAAAAATGACATGCTATTTATAATAAAAATGCCATGGTATTTTTAATAAAAATGTCATGCTTTCACAATAAAGAATGCCATGCTCTTACTACTAAAACTGCCATGATTCTACAAAGAAAATTCCATGCTCTTTATAATAAAAATGGCATGCTATCTATTAAATGCCATGCTTTCGTAATAAAAATTGCCATGCTCCTAAATGGCATGATTTTACAAAAAGAAATGGCATGCTCTTTATAATAAAAAAGTCATTTTTTAACATAGTACAAACGTAAGCGATCATATATATGCGCATACACTCACCCATATGAACGCACATACGCACACCCTATCCCTATGAACACCTCCGAGAGATTGAGCCGGCATATCATCTTGAGATTTACGAAGTCACCATATTTACTGGAAGGATCTGTGGGGGCTATCATTAGAGACCATAATAGTAATTTCATGGCAGTGGCGAATGAAAAACTGGACATATGTTATGATGCAATTACCACATAAGCAATCGCAATAAGGTTTGGCTTGAATCTAGCCCGTGCCACTGGATGCAACAAGATCGAGTTAAATTCGGACAGTCTTGAGGTCATCAACGCGCTTATGGAAGGGAGTTCTTCTTCGGTTGCGAGTGCCAT